TCTTTCAGGCAATTTGGGGGGGCGGGGGGGGGGGGAATTTTAGACTCTCCTGTGAAAAGCACTAAAGTTAGCCATAATTATGAATATCTCTTACTTGCTTCAACCCAACAAAAACTAAATACATTCCAATTTTGGCTTCATTGAGTGTATGTATTTTCCCTAGCTTAATATCGTCTATTAAATCTTTATAGTCCCCAGTACATAAAGTTAATAAAATAATAAACTTACGGGAAATAATTATGAATCGTATATAAACGGTATTATTATGTAAAGAAGACTTGAGTTGTTTACAAAATAGTAGAAATTTCCCAATATTCAGTTGATTGAATCTTTTTAAAAAATTTCAAACTATTATAATGTTTTTCAGATAAATTGCATCTTGTCACTTAGATATACTTTAACCCCCCCCCCCCTCCCCCCATCCCCAAAATTTATTTTTAATTGACAAATTAGGAATAATAATTTATTCTAAAACAAGTACTAACAAAACAAAACAAAAATGGATTTGACATGATAATCGAAATGATAGTCCATCTTCTTTATTTTTGCTTTCGGGTAGATTTTCATCTTGAAGAAATATTATTTTTAATGACAAGCCTTTCAACAGATGGGACAGTTTGTTTACTATTCAAATATTTAAAAAGATTTCAATAATATTGGCTTTAACTATTTTTGTAATCCTCTGTTATTCAGCAAACTTTGTTACAAACGGAGCACGTTTAAAGAAAATGCAAACATTTTTATATAATAATTAATTAAATGTGCAATATTTGTATGCGCCCGTTAAATAATAATTTTTAAAAAAAATAATCTCTTGATGTTTTAAGTTTCCATTTTGTATAACTCAACATTCATGGAATCGAGTACATTAATAATTATGCCAATAAAAATATTTTTTTAACCTAATATCATCATAGTAATCATACAATTTATAATTAACACTTATCCCCACTTTAAAAGTAATGCTTTTATAATGAAATATAATTTGAACATAGATTCCGTATGTTTGATACTCGGCAAGAACTATGATTATAATTGGTACTTGATCTTGATGTAAAGGTATTTTAATACAGTGTTATTAAAGTCTTAAAATTAATTTAAATTTTGTGAATTTAAAAAAAAAAAATGCATAAAAATATCGATATGTGCCAACAACATGAAGTAAGATTTCGAGGTTTAATAAGTAGCGGCCAATACGATATTTATAATCGAATACTGTCACTTTAAGCCTTTCGATATTAAATTTAAATATGGAGTATCAAATATATCGAGTGTTGCCATATTTAATACATTCCAGTAATTGTAATTGGATAAAGGCACCAGTTGCTATTCTTTTTAAAACTGTTTAAAAACGACAGTTAGAGTTTTTTGATTTAAAAATATACATAAACATTCTATTATTTTTACCCATTTTGCTCCGGTGGAGCACTTGACTTGCCCCCGAGGGGAGCATCCCCCCCCCCCCAGGAGAGATGCCTGAAAGAAACTCTGGGATGTGGGTAGCATTAAGAATTAAGCTGACAATACCTACTACTATTAGAATAAGTATTACTGTAGCCACTGGCGAGAGAAGCTTTAGTAACATGAGCTTATAAAATCACATTTATGATCATCCATGTCCAAAAAAAAGTCATTTGGTAGGTTAATTGTTCTTTCTGCCCCCCCCCCCCCCC